ACAGGAGAGGACTTCTGGACAAGATCCAGGAGTGAACCCCAAAGCTTTGGGTGGCTGTGTTCTTAAGTTCTTAAGAAGTCAGTTTAACCTCCCAAGCTAGCATGTATCTACTGGCCTCCTTTTCAAGTACTAATCAGGCTGGCTAAGCTTCTGAACAAAACTGAGAAGATGCTGGGACCTCAAAGCTGGTACTTAAGACAATCAATGTTTCATCTTGTCTAAAGGGAGGATAGAGTAAGATGTTTTGGCAAACCTAGAATCAGGCAGGTAGATCGGGATCTAAAGAACCAACAGGTAAATTCCAGATGGTCAAGGATGGTATGGACTTGTTTTCTTTGAAATTCAGCCTGCCCTTGTCAATATTCTCTGGAATTTAAGGAGTTTCCTAATGAGTTTAGCAAGGATCCATCTTTCAGGCACGTCGATACTTGACATCCCAAGAAATGTTTTCGTTTTTCCTTCTTTAGCTTTTAAACTATTCTTGCCATTTATATCAGCCTCCTGAGACATCAACTTGCCATTTATATCAACCTCCTGAGACATCAATAGCATAAATTCTATCTCCCCCTCCCACTTCTTCCTTTTGTTAAAACTGTTCAAATTCTGACTCTTTGTCATTCTTTCATTGTCCTGGCCAAAAGGGAGCCTTGGGGAAAAAATATTTATTTTATTTATTTAAATTTCTTATTTCTTAACCACCCACCTCCCTCAGAAAGGGGCTTTAGGCTGTGTACAGTACAATTAATAAAATTAACATTCAAAGTCACAATTAATGTAAGAGTAAAGATTTTAAAATTACAAAGTTACATTATGAAATTTCAAAAAGTGAAAAATTCCAAGATGGGGGGAGGTTAGTAGTTGTTAATACAGGCTGCAGGGGAGAGGTTGTCATGGGGTCAGCCAGCCCCAAAGTTGTATGGGCCTCTGTGTCCCAACATAAAGCCACAAAGCCACATTTCGATCCCTTACATTGAACAGCCGTGCACAAATCCATGGTTCAAATACAAAACACAAGCACAAAAACCCCACATACATCCTCTTTTGACTTGTGCACTTTTTTTTTTTGCTTTGCAACACAAGCTAATAACTTCAAGCGCTTGCAAAACTTTTGAAAACTAATTTCAGAGAAGAACCCGCAAAGCTTACACCTCCCTCCCTGTGGGCTTTCATCCGATGCTATCATTTTATGACTAAGAACTTGCAATAGCTTGTCTTGCTGCATTTCCTGCTGTTGTCTTCATTTAGTGAATTAATTGAAGAGTAATGACCTTACAGAAATATGCATGAAGTTTGGACCCAAATCTGCATTCACTTTACAAAAAGATCAAACCCAAGGATACCAGGGTTACAGAATAACAGAGATGGAAGGGACCTTGGTGGTCTTCTAGTCCAAGCTCCTGCTCAAGTAGGAGAACCTATACCAGGGGTAGGCAACCTTGGCTCTTTTATGACTCATGGACTTCAACTCCCAGAATTCCTAAGCCAGCCATGCTGGCTCAGGAATTCTGGGAGTTGAAGTCCACGAGTCATAAAAGAGCCAAGGTTGCTTACCCCTGACCTATACTATTCTGGACAAATGGCTGTCCAATCACTTCTTAAAAACCTCCAGTGATGGAGAATCACAACTTCTGAAGGCAAGCTGTTCCACTGATTAATTGTTCTCACTGATAGGAAATTTCTTCTTAATTGTACGTTGGACCTCTCTTTGTTAATTTTCCAGCCTTGTCTTGCCCTCAGGTTTGGAGAATAGGTTGAACTAGTGGTGGGATGCAAATATGTGAACAACTGGTTCTCTGTGTGGATGCCGCTTCTGGAAGTCCATTCTGGGCCTGGGTAACAAAAAATTAGCTACTGGTGCGAGCTGGCTGAATCCCACCACTGGGTTGAACCTTTCCTCTCTGTGACAGCCTCTCAAATGTAGCAGTTTTCCAATATTTGAGTAACTGTCACAGAGAGGAGGGGGTCAATCTATTTTCTAGAACACCTGAGGCCAAGACAAGAAGGAAGAAATCCCAGTGAGATCCTGAATTGTAAAATCTATATGTATTACACTGTGTAACTGGATGTGACTTCACAGTATAACTAAGTGCAAAATGTTCCATTCTTAGGGTTATGGCATCTGAATTCTGGAAATTTCTGAAAAACTACCAGGAATACCCCTAAAGTTACTGAACTGGTGGGATCTGGAGGAAAAACAACATGGCCCCACTGTTAATTTAGATAAAAAACTGTATTGGTATGAACCCAGCTCCTGGATACCTATCATAATATAAAATTCTTCTCCATTCAATCATCTAGATCACCACAGGCTTTGTCCACCGTGTCTGAAAATTCTAGAGTTGAGGCCCAACAAATATAATAATATCATACTACACAAAACACAATGTTTGAAAGTTTGAAATCAATCACCCCATGGTCAGCATGTAAAAGTAGTGAAATTATCCCCCTG